CCTCTGCACTTTTATATATTTTGTATTAATAAAGAGACAGCAGAAAAAAAAAACCTGCTCAAAACAGAGTTTATGTTTCTGATGTCAGAACGCTTTGCCAAATGAAGCCCATAGAGATTAATTGCCTCTTTGTCCATTACATTTGGATAAAGTGATTTTAGAGTGACTAAAGGCATAGTCTAGTAACAAGGCAATTTCTTCCCACATAATTTTCTATGGCATTTGTGGTTTGTGTCTTTGTTCTCCTACTCTCTATGACTACCATTTTTCCTTCAGAATTTTTAAGTATCTCCAGGGGACAATCACAAACCAAGGACAAAAACAGATTATTTACCAGTAACTTGAGTTCTCCTACACGATGATCATTTTCTCTGCAGAACCATTCCAGTTCCCCCCTCCCCAATTTTCCTATTCAGAGATAGATTTTTACAGTCAGTTTGGAATGAAGTAGGATGGTATACTAGTGACTCACACATCTGCCGGAGGTAAAATGGCATTCAATGCATGCGCTAGTGCACTTCGTACTTACCTGAAATTTGACAACTTCAGCAGCTCTTTGGTGTCTGACATGGTGTTCTCATAAATTTCTCTAAAGACCATGAATCTGTGGAAGAGGTAACACACCACCCACCACCACCACCCACCCCACCCCCAAAAATGAAATTCAGTTACTGGTAAGTAATACAGTTTTATTAAAGATGTCAAGCCATAAGGATTCTTGCTCGTCCCCAATAACCTGTAATAACCATGCCGTTTACTTACCTAGTGTAGCAAATTGATAAGTATTATAAAGGTATTTTACACTGAATATAAATGAACTAAACATTCCAGAATCTTTTCATAATTTTTATTAGATGAAAATTTCAAACACACTTGGCAGAATCTTGAAGGCAAAGAGTTTTCCAAGAGCATGAGATGATACTAAATTTGCTAGACTTAAGTTGTAATATGTTTTTATCTCCCTGTAAAAATCTCAAATTTTTATGGCTCTAATTCCAGAGATATAAAAACCCCACCTGATTCCAGTTGCTCAGAATAAATTCCTTAAAAAAAAAAAATTCCCCTGTAGGTCTTGACCCAAAGCTAAATGAAGTAATAACAATTCTGTTGAATTCACTGGGCTCTGGATCCTTGTCTTTTGAGTTTGTAACATTTAAACGTAGTTAAAGTGCTCAGAAACAAAGGAAAAAAGATGCTTAGGAAAATTACTAAACAACATCTGGTGTGTTCATGTCTGCTTCATTCTAATCAACTGTGAAACAATGTTTTTCTTCTTTGCTATGTTATAGGTAAAATGTGTAAGAGAAAAATACCGTTTTAAATAATCCTTTAAAACAATCATGTTTCTGCCTAACCATCAAAGCATCTTTCTATTTGCAGACATCTAGGAGCAATAACTTTCTTACTTGTAAATACTATAAACTTTCATCCTATGCAAGAAATTATCAGAATGGCTTCTAAGGACTTTTCTTAAACCTTCCATTTTTTTGTCTTTATTAAACTTTCTTTTTTCTCAAGCTTCTCATAATCTACATTGTGACTTCCTGTGTTTATAAACTTTTCATGTTTATTTCAGTGCCAGTTTATATTCATTCTGATTTTAATTTTCCAGTTTTGATCTTTAAGGGAAAACAGTATATAGGAACACACTCTCAGATAAATAATTATTTCACTGATGTAGTTTTGTTTGATTTCAGTCAGAATGAAACCCAACATGTATTAGGAACCTGATAACCACAAAATTATCAGTAGCTGCGTAATCCACTATACCCTATGACCATATCAGGAGGGAATTTTTCTGGGAATACGTCCCATTGCCAGGGGCAGGGGGAATTATGAGTCCATATCTGAAGTCTGGACCAGATCCCAGTGTAGAAGAGTAGAGGAGACAGACATTTTAATGCTGCTTAGCTTAGAAGTTGCTTTGTGTGAAAAATGCTTTTTTGGTTTAAAGAACAGTACTACAAACAGAAATGCTAACTCCGTGTTGTACTTTCTTTTTATGTAGATACCCTGCAGTCACAGCTTATCAATATGGGTGTTATACCTACATTAGTGAAATTGTTGGGTATTCATTGCCAAAATGCAGCTCTGACAGAGATGTGCCTTGTTGCATTTGGCAATTTAGCAGAACTTGGTAAGTCCACAATATTAATCTCAAATTTTCGTAAAGTTAAATTTTAAGACTAACAAAAGCCTTGCACTGATGCTTGTTCCATTCCTTTTGGTACATTCAAAATTTAAAGCAAACTATTCTGCTTATTCTCCCTAAAATCTATAGTTGTCTCTTTTTTTTCCTCTTCAGTAACTGACGTTTATTTGAGTACTTAGTACAACCTTATCTTTTATGTTAACGTTCTTCAATGCAAGTAAGCACATTTCCAATCATGTAAACAGTATTTCCTGAGCGCTGCTACTTACTGTGAATTATTTATTAATAATATAAATAATGTATCCTGGTGTAGCTCCACAAAGTTGTATCGGGGTTAAATTTGGCTCATGGAAATCACTGAATGGAACTGAGACAGGCACAGTTCATAAATCTGCCTATACAATATTCTTTTAGGTGTAGAGTTTTGACATGTTCTAGACTAAATACTTGCATGAATAAGTCATGAATATTACTAAGCTGTAGATGTTATTTTTAGCAAGTTTAGTTACAACTTCATTTAAATTGAAGTTTGTGGTCCTGCTTCGATCCAATGTCTTTGCAAGTGGATTAGTTTTCACTAGAATTCCACAAAGTGTAAAACAACGGGTTGTTAGGGCCCGTGTTTCATTGTCACTTGTGGTTTACATTGCTGTTCTTCTTTTGCTAACCTATTCAGTGAAATTTTAGTCTTATGAGGCTTTTTGCACTGGAGTACAATAATATAGCAGTTATGGTATCATCCTGTATTTCTAAGAGGATTCAGCAGTTCAAAATATGAAAAATCTATCTGTGAGTTTGTACTATTTGGTGGCCTGAAGTTATTCGCAACTGTCCTAAGTTCATAGATTTCAAGGCCAGAGATAATATCACGTTATCTAGTGTAGTCTGATCACACGCATAATACCTTTGCTTATAGCAGACAAGTCTGCTTAACAAAACAACAACAGAAAGAGCCATCAAAACAGCACTAAAGAAATTAATAGATCAGAGATCTTCAGGATGAGCACTATGTATTGTGTCTGCACAGTGGAAAGTATAATACGAGTTGTATACTGGAAATTCTAGTGCTAAAATACAACTAAAACCGTAAGGATATTAAATATAATAAATGGTATCTTCACTGAGAACTACATTTCCTTTCCCTCTTTGTCCAGTTGAGTAATAAGAACCATGGGAAAGAAGCTTAACAGCAGCTGCTTCCCTTCCTGTTCCCATACGCTGAAAAAATGCTCGTTCTTTAAGATTGGCACAAAATTAATTTAGCTTGTAATACTTTAATCTCCCTTAAGCAATAGCTTAGTCAATCACATTGTAACTGTAATATTTTATTTTTGGCTTGTAACTTCAGGGAATTTTATTGTCAGGTTGTCATTTTTCATCACTTAAGAGACAACCGCATTCTACAGATCCCTTGAGAAGCATTATATGAAACTCTTATTCTGTGTCAAAGCAGGGCAAAAACCAAATAAAGACAGTGATGGTTCTGCTTTTAAAAATACCAGAAAGGTCAAAAATCCACTTAGAATATGCTGTGCAGTCATGCATATTGAGAGAAAACAATAAAGGGATGCGCACAAAAGGGTCTAGGGCTGCAGTTCATGCTTTCCCCAGTCCTTGGGGTCAATTCTACATTAAAATCATCCCTAACCATCCATTATAGCAGTAGCAAAGATGCTGGAAGGTTTTCTAACTACAGATGGCCCTCAGGAGGTGGCAACTGGAGAATGCAGAACACCAGCCCTACCACCTGCATCCCCTGTAATACTGCCGGTGAGGAGGAATAAGATACAGGCAATGGAGTAGAAGAGATGCTTTTGTTGAATCTACATTTGAAGAACCATTATCTGCTGGCTAACCTCCTGGTAGCAAGCTAGCCCATCTGTAAAGCTGCTTTATGCTATCTGTGCAGTATGAAATGGCCCTGCAGCAGCCATGCACAGATCTCAAAGGAGACGTCACCGTCATGAAACCATGTAATACTAAAGCGTTCAGTACGACTCTTCATCTCTCCCACAGAAAATGCAGTATATAATCTGTTAGTCTTCCTGTTAAGCTGAGGGGAATCAAAGACAATATATATTTTTGTAATGTTACTATTTCTATAGCTACCTTTACATTCTGTTGGGCAGAAACAGCCCCAACAACCTTGATCATATATTTATATATTTTTAACAGCCTTAATCATAATTAATTCAGGTCAGTACATTTATCTTAAAGTGTTAGACATTTTTCTCTTCATTTAGTCGCAAGCACGAGTCTATTGTTCTTGTCTGTGAAGAGCACTATTAGTCATCTTACTGAATAAACCTGGTAATAGAAAAAAATAGTCCTACCTTTTGATGCAGTTTGTTTACTTGATACTGAATTTTTCCTTTTGCTTCACAGAGTCAAGTAAAGAGCAGTTTGCCTACACAAACATTGCTGAAGAGCTCGTGAAACTGTTCAAGAAGCAAATAGAGCATGATAAAAAAGAGATGATTTTTGAAGTTTTGGCTCCCCTGGCAGAAAATGGTGGGGAATTGGATTTTTTTTTTCTTACACTGTTTTTTATTCATTCCTTTATATGTATTTTGGTATATCCGTGTCTTTTTCAGGGACTAATTGCAGAGTAACCAGCTGCCTCATTCAGAAGCCGCCATGGTCCGTCCTTGTGATGACAGTTTCATGTGAAGTGAATAGGTCTTAATTGTCTGAGCATATGACAGGAGCCAACAAATTGTTGATGCTAATTCCACCTCTGATTCACTCTGTATATGATTATGTTATATTTTATTTCCCTGTACCTTCAGTGGGAATATCAAAAGCTGCTTTTTAGAGGGCTTTACAACATTTGTCTGCAAAACGCTGGCTCAAGTGTTCATAGTCTGTTACATCACCAGGACATCAGTCATTATGTCATTTCCTGGGATCACAGAACCACTGGCAGTTCCATTTCCTGTGGACGTATTTTTGCAAGGGGCATGTTAATCGCAGAGCTAAGAGCTGGACGCTCTCCCCCTACTGTTCATTGAGAGATCACATAAATTTAACTTGGGTGTTTGGTGGCATATCTCATGGTAGCCCCAGGAGACTTGAGCTTCATTCACTGCTCAAGCCAGAGCGGGAAGTGACGTGTGCCCGATAACCCCTCCGGGATGTTCCTCCCAAATGAGTTCTGGGTGGTTTGCATAATCTACCATCTGCCCTTAAGGGAAATGAAGACATGAGTTAACAGGTGGAGCTGGACTGAAGTGAGAAGCAGTTCTGAGTATGGAAGGCATCACAGCATTTGATGGCTCTCTAACCTTGTTTTAATCACCTCAGCATTAAAGCTTGTTTGAATGGAATAAATTATTAGATAGAACTGTAAACTCTGAAGATTTATGTTTTATCCTACTCTGTTGTACACACTCTGTGTCTGTTTTACATAGTATAAATCAAGATAAATTTTTATTTCCATTTTAAAAGTTATTTTGTCTTTTAAGTGGCATGTAAAAACAGGATTCCTTTTTTCAATTCTAAAAATGCACATTTTGCCAAAATATATTCATTTATTACATAATAACTAACAAGTTGCTCTAAGATAGTTCCACCCTTGGAGACTGACACAGAATCGGGTCCACCCTTTTGCGAGTTTATCATATTTCAGTTCAAGTGCTTAATTTTTCTTAGACCGTGTTTTATAGTCGCAATAAAACTTGGTAAGTTTACTGCTGCTGAACATAACTCAGGTGCTTGCATGTTATGAAATAGTCAGCTGAACTCTTCCACTGTGCATTCAAGGCATACTTAAATGAATTTGCTGTGCTGGTACTGTTTAGGTGCTTTTGATTGTAGATAATCAGCAGTAGGTCAGCAGGCAAAAACATCTAAATGAAGCATTTGCAGAGTCTGGATTTTGGTGGTTGGGGGGGTTTGAGGGGTTTTTTTTGTTTTGTTTTATTGTTAAGGACACTGGTGTAGCAATTTATATTTCAAGTCGCAGCACACCTGCAACCTGGTATTCTGTAACTAAGGGAACTCTGTATTTTTTTTTTAAAGTACCTCAGTGCAAAAGTACCTATTTAAAAAAATCCCAACGGGATATTTTTGCATTCCCTAACAAAGTTCATGAGAAGGGCAGCCGCTCTTAGAGGAACAATGAATTTCATTCAGGCAAAAAGCCTAGTGACAACAGGAAACAGAGTCAGTCACATCCTTCACCAGCGGTAGAACACTTCTCACCCAGCTGTCACTTGTAAACTATATGAAAAAAATATTTCCATAGCTTTGGCCTTTAAAAATATTTTAACTTGAGTTGAACTCCGTATTGTTAAAGCACCATTTCATGCAGAAAGCTAAGAGAAATCCATTTGTTTGCACATTTCTGCAGAGGTTTGTGACTGCTTTCTAAAATCAGCATGCAAAAACTACCAGAATCGCTTTCACGTAACAAAAAGACGTAACACAGCATCAGATCACCAGCCATTCCCGCTTAACAGAAAGGGAGTTTCGGCATGTAAAGGAGATTCTCAGCTCCAAGTTCACAGGGAAAAATCTGTTAAAGATTGTGTTGTAGATACAACAGAAAAAATGTTGCTCCCAAGTCCTATTTCACCACCTGAAAAATGTGTTTATCACCTTCTCTGTTGAGCCTTGTTGCCAATAACAACTAAGAAATGAGTTTGCCTCATCAGTTTCCTGATCAGTTTTTCTTCAATCACAACAAATTTGTCTCCCAACCCAGCCTTTTGGATTTGGCCTCACTGTACTCCTCCTGCAGCCCTTTCAACTAATGGCAGAAATCTTGGCTCAGCTAGAAGAAATGGGTGATTACTTGCTCTGAGATTTCATCAAAGTTCTATATTTTATACTTGCATGTTTCAGTGAACTCAGTAGCTCTTCTGCACATGAAACAGAAGAAGAAACCCTAAGTTTGTTCTGCAGCACAGTCGAAAGTCTATGGAAAGCCCAAACACAGCGCAGTCCTTATGAGTCTGCTGCGTGATGATGAGATGCCAGAAGTTTGCTGTAGAGAAATATCCTCATTTTTGAGAAGTGAAAGAGCAGCTCCATACCGTTTCAGCGTATAGTTGTGCTCTAAATGCAGTCCAGAGCCGGGGGCCCGGTAGATGAATAATAACAGAAGTTGGCCCTGAGAATTTAAAATAAAAAAATTGCAGTTTTATCTACACAAGCTGTCAGTGAAACCATTGACATCACTACTTCTTTTCACAGTCTGTCCTGCGTGTATGTACAATAGATGTACTTAAAATCATGATTCTGACTCCTATTATCCATGCTATTCTTCAGATGTCATTAAACTGCAGCTGGTTGAAGCGGGCTTGGTGGAGTGCTTACTTGAGATCGTCCAGAAGACTGTGGACAGTGACAAAGAGGATGATATTGCAGAGCTTAAAACAGCTTCTGATCTTATGGTTTTGTTATTGCTCGGAGGTAAGTACAGTGTGTCACTACCTTCTGCAAAGCAACAGCAGATACCTGTAATGCCGTTTGGCTGCTGAATTTTACTATTTATTAAATTTCTAAATAACCTAGAGGACCTGCTACCTGCCAGTTAACATTTAATGGGTCAGATTTTGTCTCTCATCCCATTGCAGGACTGGATTAATTGTAGTGAAGCCAGCAGTGCTTCACAGATATAAAGAGAAGAATTTTCCCTAACAAACACTTCTTTGGCTTGCTGACTGTCTATGCTTTTTACCCCAGATGAATCCATGCAAAAGTTATTTGAAGGAGGAAAAGGCAGTGTGTTCCAAAGAGTACTTTCATGGATTCCTTCCAATAGCCATCAGCTACAGCTTGCAGGAGCGTTGGCTATTGCAAATTTTGCCAGAAATGGTAAGAATATGCCGTAATAGCTTATGTTAATTTATCTGTGCCTTTCTATCATGCTCTGTGTGTACAGCTACAAACAAAAACTGCGTGTCGTGGTAAAGCTGGTACTGAGTTATACAGCAACATCTGTAGTTTTATACTTTACAATCCTGAAAAGCATTAAACCTACTTTAAAAATACTGTTTCACATTTATAGAGAGGTATAGGGGATTTCTGCCTTCTTCAGCGTTTCATATATCATTCTTCTAAATTTGTCATGAGCACTGCAACTCCCATTGATGATGGTGGTCAAATTCTCAACAATAAAAGCTAGAAAGGAGCAAGGAAATAACCCTTCTATTCTTAAAAAGCTCTTGTAAAAATCTTAGTAATAATCTTCCATTCACAAGTGACTTATCTCACACAGACGGAAACTGCATCCATATGGTGGATAATGGCATAGTTCAAAAGCTGATGGATCTGCTAGACAGACATGTGGAGGATGGAAATGTAACTGTGCAGCACGCTGCACTGAGTGCTCTCAGAAACCTGGCTATTCCTGGTAAGCCTCACTTTGCATTGCTAATTACCCAAAGGTGAAATTCTGTTCTCCCACTGCACCCCCCCAGGGGATGAGGGTGCAAGAACTGACCGAAAGTCCTAGAGGCAGGTCAGACTGCTGCTTTTCATTCAGGCCCATCATCGCTTTTGTGTCTTTTGCACAGCAGTCGTGACCAGCAGTTTTAAATACATCACAGGCCCATCGACCATCTTTTGCCACTTCGGTCCCTCAGTATCATTCCCCACCAAGGAAAGGGCAGCTTTGTAATAGGCAGGGAGCTGAGGAGGCCTCGGATATGATTTCTCAATCCTTTCTGTCCAGAGCACTGCTTTTTTTTTTGTTTGTTTCATCTGGGATCTCTCTCCCAGCTGAGGGTCCCCACAAGAGAGCAGTGTCCGCTTTGTTGAAGCACTGCATCTTACCGTAACTTCCTCAGGCTTTGACAATTCACAAATTAGAGCTAGAGGTAGACTGTTAGAATAGCCAGCCTATTGCAATTAGGTACCGTTTGTAGGCAATGAACTGAATGCTAATTTTGTCATTTTTAGCAACTTAATTTGCATGAGTTTTGATTACCCAAGCATGAAAGGCAGAGCACATGCACATAAAAACAAAGCAAGTCTGTAATGCTTGTGTATGCTTTCTCGTACCAAGCCAAAAATAAGTCTTTCATCCATTTAACCTTATTTTACTATTTTCAGTTGTGACAAACAATAACTTTCTAAAAATGATCATGCATACCTAACTAAACCCGTGCAGCTTTAGCGGTACGCCATTTACTTACCTTTCTCAGATGAGTAATTCTATTAACGTCCTTCAGTCAGCAAGCTTCCCTGTAGCCTGTGCTCAAGGATGTCTGCCAGAGACCTACATAAGATTTAATGTATATTGTTATAGAAAAATGAGCAAGTAATAACTGGCCTCAGTGATGAACTGCTTGTTAAACACTACTTTGAATATGAAATAAGTACTTTTTTCTAAGTACAATATTGGACCAAGTTTGCACCTTACATATATTTCAGAGCGCTCCATGAAAGTGAGACCTTAGACTAGTGGAGGGGACAAGAGAGAGTTGGGAGGGCAATACAAGGACCACAGGCTCCAGACATGTCAGGCCACAGTGTTGTTTGCATAAAGTATTGGAAGTGGGTAAGAGGTTATTCTGCTAATTAGATGCTTTAGTTCCGTTGCCTATGTGAAATAGAAGAGTGGTGTTGGCAATCAGAGAAGTTTCCTCGTACTTTGGGTGCGTGTACTAGCCTGGGCTTCTGCTTCATGCATTTTGTGGAAGATGCCTTTCCTAGACTAAGGGGGAAAAGTCTAGCCTTCAGTCTGTGTTCAGGCTGAACACTGGAAATTAGATGTGCATGCTAGGAAAAAGCACTTAATTTCACACCTGTGTCTTAGCAACCATGACATTTTTCCACAGTGCAGTATTGTCAGCGCACACTCATGTTCCTGAAGTCTGTGTTCACAAGCTATTTTTCAAACCGTGTCTGAAAATTTGCTTCAAGACCTTCTTAGAAATAAACTGCATCTTCCAGAAATGTTCTTGACATCATTCCTGTTCTTTATTCATGCAGTTGTAAATAAGGCTAAGATGCTATCAGCTGGTGTTGCAGAAGCCGTATTGAAATTTCTCAGATCGGAGATGCCCCCTGTTCAATTCAAGCTGCTGGGAACGTTAAGAATGTTAATAGATGCACAAGGTAAAAATAAACTGTTCTCTATGTTAAGTGATTCTCTTTGGTTCAGTCTGTGATATGCTGCCAAGATTCTTACAAGAGGGAAGCAGAGGGGTTTTTAAAATTTTATTCCTGAAGTCTTGGAATAGATCTAATACATATGCAGAGGGAGAGGAACGTGGGTTGATTTTTTTTCAGAACTCCTAAACTGACTACCAGGGACCCTCAGAATAGGTGTCAAATGCTTATTTACTTTTGTACTTCAGAACTCTCCTACGCTGTCACATTACGAGTATGTATTGAGGCGTGAGTGTTTTAAGCTACCGCTCCTGTTTTGCTGTTCACTTACTGCATTTCCTGGCTGTACCTAGCTCCTTGGAACAGACTAATGCGCTTGTTAATTGATAAACTGCAATTTCAAAATGAACAAGCACTTTTTAGTTTAACAGCTTGTTCCAGGATGAGGATCTGTAAAATCAGAAGTCTGCTAAAAAACAAAAGTAGTTAATGAGATAAATTAGCCAGGTATTTATTTTGGACTCCGTCCTGCAGATTTTTTCAAAAGATCCATTCTAGCTCTAGCAAAGCTATTAGATATGAAATAGAAATTTATTGAAGAAACTTATGTGACTTACAGTCTATAAAACCTAATCTACCTGACCACAGTGCGCCCCTTCTGGCAGCGGTCCCTTCTGGTTTTAAATTTTTGAGCTAGCTCACCTGGGAGTGTGACATCACCTGTATTTTCCCTACAGTTCATCAATGCACAAGCCTCATTAACTGGGCTGATAAGTTGTTTTCAAAAACTAGATTATGAACGTTTTTCTGTATTTTGTTTTTCTGTATTTTGACTGGCTTTACTTGCTTCCATGCAACCTAGACTTTTCTCACTGTTAGTGCAAGCTAGCAAAGTTCCACTCAACAAGCTCCTTCTAGTTAGTAACTTTCAGCTTATTTTTCTAGCACTTGCTTAAAAAAAGTGACAACTTTTTTGTTGTGTTGTTGGCTCCGGCATCACATAGCAGAAGCAGCTGAACAGCTGGGCAAAAACGTGAAACTGGTGGAACGATTGGTGGAGTGGTGTGAAGCCAAGGATCACGCAGGTGTGATGGGGGAGTCCAACAGACTACTTTCTGCACTTATACGACACAGCAAATCAAAAGTAAGTTGATTTAGCGGTGGAAAAGGTCAGCTTATAAGAACTAAGAGTTACCTCTGCACTGGGTGCTGGTAGCCGAGGCCTCCAGTAACGTAATCCTAGAGAGCCACGTTGGTTAATTCATGTGTTACATCTCCTCTGCCTCTGGGACCTGCCAGTCAGACACAAGCAACAGGTTTAAATGCTCACTGGAACTACGTACTTGAAAAAAAATTGAAACAAAGGAAAACAATTTCAGAGTGGCAGGCCAGTTGAAGGAATGCTGTTAGGATTCACGTGGCGAAGTCTTGACTTTCTATTTGTATTGTATCCTGCAGAAGTTCAGCGTGCCATATTTTCTACGTTTTAATGATGCTATATATGAAGAATCATTGCACTCAATTGTTGCGATCTTGCTATTTATATAAAATCGAGATCCAGAGATAGTCTGTCCCCCTACTCTTCATACAGCATATTTCAGAGTTTTAAGATTCTAACAGATCATTAGAAATTATCATTTATTCCAAATTCTAACAGAAGCTTGCTTGTACACGGCAAAAGGTATAACATTCAGAGAAACTGTGGGACGGACAGATGAGTTCTGTCCCTCCCATCACCTTCGCATCAACCAAATAGCTTTACATAAGCAGTCCAAGTCCGCAGTCCAAGTCCACAGTCCTTGCTCAGGAGAGTATTAGGCAAAACGTAGCCTTAGAAGAGACAAAAGCATCTCCTCTGGAAACAAACTATTTCAGGCTCAGACTTCATTTAGTGTGTTCACCGATACGAACACAGGCTGCATGACTGAGCTTAAATAGCAAGTGTGATGTGGACAACTCAGACTTCAACGGTGACCTCTTCATTCACGCATGGCATTTGCAAAGTCAAAAATTGTGGACCTGATCTATACTGAGCCTCTCCAAAAACAAATCAACAGGACTTACAGACATTTAAATCTTTGCTGATTTCTAATGTTACTGTCTCTTTCTCATGCCCATTCTCCATTTTATTTTCAGCCTCTAAAACCGATCAGGTTTCATTTTTTCCTGAGTTCTCATTTTTTGTCACCCTCCCCACACAGTCCACAAGATGCACGTGTAGATGGCATACGCCACCACAGATGTGAGTTTTTATCAATACTCTCTACAGGAAAAAAAAATTCAATCCTAAATACAGAGACATTTTTGATGGCATCAAACATATTAATACAGAAGTTAACAGATTTACCACAGATGAACTTGTGTGGTTTATGTACTCACAGAGGAAACGTGACTGGAAAGGAAAACGGAGCTGAGAGGGTGGGGTTTTTTAATGCTTTTACTGCCCTCTAGGTTTTGAGTATGAGTACAACTGTATGGTTCTTCACAGCACATTAGATTTGAATTTGGTTTTTAATTTTGAAAGATTTGGGGTAATATTTACAAAGGTGATAGTAGTTTAGAAAACTTATGTCTCATTCTAAAAAAATCGAGTAGGTGCTTATGATTTAAGCCACGCTAGCACCAAACCTGACTGCTGTGATCTCTTCTGTCTATTTGGTACTGCCTTTTAGAGGGTGATGTTCACCTACAAAATAAGAAATTTTGATGCCAAGGGTGCTGATTGATTCCCAAGGCTTATATAGCCAAAGTTCCACACCAGTTCAAATAGAAATTAACAGTTCCCAGATTATTCCATGAAGTCCCCGAACTACTTTGGAGTTCCACCAGAAAAATCACATGGATGTGTAATAAAACACATCATTGCAAGTAAGGAAAAAACGTAAAAATTCTTACATGCTTGAATACATTATGTCATTCAGAAAAAATAGGTTTTAAATGTGAAATTCTTGGGTCGTTAGGCTACTGTGCCACTGGCATCTTCAGTATGATTATCTAAAAATATTTCAGTTTAAGGATTGTGATCATACTGGGTCTGTTTCCTTGCATAAAGAATGTCACTGCATAGCCTGTGCAAGCACTGGAACGTAAGTCATTCTAAACACGTGCATCAGTTAATGAGTTTTGGCTTGTGGCTGGAGTTAGAAAGGGATGTGTGCTTTAAATGGAAATTCAACATATTGATTAAAAATTTAAATCAGATTCTTATTTCAAGAAATAACAACTATTTCAAAACTTTGTGCACCCATGGAACAAATAAAAAAATAATAAAAACCAAACCACGTTTCCTTGAACAGTTTCTCTTCAGCGTGCCAAGTTACCTCATTTTCTGGCAAACATTTTGCAAGTATTTTTGGGACATGTAATGGTGAAAACATTAGGTGCAAACTCACTTTTTTAATGATAATTAACAAGTAATCAAAGACCTGCAGACACCAGAAGTCTTTATTCATCCTTCGTTACACATATAAGTTGGATCAAATTTTGGAGTTGAAAACAGAATCCCAGCTGCGTATTTTTAAACTGCTTTAAAGCCATTTAACCCAGTCAGCATTTTCATTTCAAGTACACCATTTCTGTTACATAGTAAGGTGTAATATTTGTGATCTCACCTCTCTGAACATTTTGAAGAAACTTTGAAAATTCACGGAGAGAGATGAAGGATTTGATGACTTTATTAAAACTATATTCTTGTGTCTCCTTATCCCAAATATATGGTTTGTTGGGTGCTTTTGATAAGCTGCTCAGAACATCACAACGTAAAGAAGGGAAAACTAATCATCTTTGAAGACCAGCTGAGTTCAAACATAACAGGGCAGACTCATTGTTAGGCGACTGATGGCACATCATGAGAACTTGAGTTACACAGTATAACCTGGAAAAGAGTTAGTTATGTGTGTCTTAACTTAATCATGTGGTTAACTGGCTTGGTTTAACAGGTTGTATCTTATAATTGCAGAGTAATAGCAGATAATTCAGAGGCCCACATGTATGTACATTTATGTATAAAGTGATTATATGTGCATAAAGCCAACGAGTATCCTGACCCAAAGATAACATAGCATCCATGACAATTTCATTATTTAATACAGTTTGTATGCAACGCAGAATTTTTTCATTTCTATGTTATTTATTTTAGGATGTAATTAGGACCATTGTACAGAGTGGTGGCATCAAGCATTTAGTAACCATGGCAACCAGTGAACACGTAATAATGCAAAACGAAGCTCTCGTTGCGCTGGCATTAATAGCGGCTTTAGAGTTAGGTGAGTATCCCAGCAGTTAACTCTACCTGTTTTCTTTCCAGTTTGTGCCCAAGAGAAATTGTAGAGGCAAAGTTGTGCGAGTTTCTTTTGCAATGTAGAAAAGCCTCCTCCTTCCACCTGCCTTTCAGTAGCACGGAAATACATGACAGTTCGTGCAGACATAGGCATAACTCTAGCATAACTAGAGTTTGCTGGTAATACAGTGTCTGCTCCGTCATTCTGGTAGGTGATCGTATGATCTAGAAAGGCCCTCAAACGTAAAACTTTCAGATTTTGGGTAAAATGCAAAAGGCCAGCAGTTAAGAAAATGGTACTTTAGAGTGGAGACTGTATGACCTGACTACATTCCTACACTGGAATGGTTAATCCCCTTTTGAGAGGGCTTATCAAAGTAAAGTTTTCACTTACCTAATTAGTGAGAGCTAGAGAATACACACAGAGGCGGATGATGCCCCAAAAATGTCTTTATTATTATTAAGTTCCACAGAAATAGGTGCAAGAGTTACCATATGAAGGCAGAGATGATTACGTGTCTTGACCTGCCTTTGTAGTACCTCAGCTTACCAAACAAAAAGGTAAATGCCCAACAGAGGTTTCGTTTATCCTATTTGCTTGCTTATTAACTAAGGTAACGAACTGAACAAGCAACATTACATATTTTTGCTCTTGATTTCATCTCTTGCCATTGTGTACTAGAGGAATGCTACGTTCAACTTCCAAATTGCTGCCAATGCATCAGGGAATTCTTTTAATTAAAAAGGAAAAATGTCCCTATTCACATGAATCGTCTAACCCTTCTTTGTCTTGTCTTCAGACGTTTAAAGGTTTCAGGCCTGAATTCAGTATATAATGGTTCTTAGAAAACTACAGAGGAAATAACTCGCGCTCTGATCTTGAAAAGTTTTTCACAGCCTTTACAATGGACCCTGAGTTCCCTCTACCATGGAATCAAGAATTACATCATCTGTATTTACTCAGACAAAATTTCCAAAAGCAAATTTAGGCACTGGAAGTCTTGAAAGCTGAAATACTGCAGGTGTTGGCCTAAATCGCTAGAAACCCTGGTGGCTTTTCCATCAGCACGTTTAAGTTTGGATTTTATCATTAAACTGTGATTGTCCTTTCAAGCAGTTAGGCTATTTTACATTTTTATGGCAAAAGCTTGATTCCTACCATCATACCATCTAATACATGCTTCAGTTTTATGCCAATGAGTTATGTACCACAGCACCACTTTTACTACGGTGAGAGATCCATGTTTCAATAAACGGCTAACACGCAGAAGCATCAAAGCAAGCGGCACTTCCAGATTTACAGATTTTCACTTGTATTTCAGTCACTGCTGAAAAGGATCTTGAAAATGCTCAGCTTGTTCAGATTCTACACAGACTGCTCTCAGATGACAGGAGTGCTCCAGAAATAAAATACAACTCCATGGTGCTGATCTGTGCCCTTATAGGATCTGGTGAGTATTCGGGGGGGCTGCTTTCCTAGGAGATTTATGTGTTTAAACTTAGTTCTCCCTTTTAGCATGAACATAGAACATGTGCAAACGCACTCTGAGACTGGTTCTCTGTTCACAACGAATGTACACAGAAGGGTTCAATTTGCTATGACGCTTTATTTGTAGTGTTTATTTATCCTGTCAAGAAAGCGGCTGTTAACTCAGTTTTGGATATTAACTGCAGAAATTGGACTCTGGCTTCTGCAGAATGCAGCTAGCTCAGACTTCAACTGACAGGAGAGAAATGAAAGGCATGTAAAACTGTACAGTATCAGGCTCTCTTTGCAAATATGCAGGTACCAAGAACTTTATTTTCACCTTTAGCTGCAAGTTCCCCGTAATTGATGTGTGATGGCTTTTTTTTATTGGTCAACTTAGTCAAGTAAAATTCGGTGGAATTTTGCAAGAAGCCTCCTCACTTGTAGTTTTAAAATTCCTACAAGAATGGTAGGAAACAAATATACAGGTAATATTTGCAAGGACACACGTGCACACAAATGAGTACTTAGTACAGCACATAGGCTATAATCCTGCTTTAGGAGGGATCCTCACACTTACCTCGCTAGGAAGAGTCCTTCCCTCAGCAGCCCTCACATGGTCAGCCCACCAGGCACAGCTGTTCATGGTTGCTTTGAAAGACGAGGAGGACACGCTCTAACACATGTCAGTGCTGGACACTGTAAAGTCTAATCTTTCTGAGCTAACCCTCTGCTAAAGGTCAGACTGTTTTGAGGATAGTGTAACAGGCTGTGGTTTGATACTGCAACTTCCCACCTGTGTGTGGGCAAACAAAAAAACAACAAAAAAGAGCAAGGTATCATGGGGAAATTGGATTTCCAGCTGAGGTTTCGAGAAGTGGCTACATTTCTTTCATTCAGTTCTTTAAGAAGTATTTACTCTGTGGAAGGAGAGCAAATTTCATTCCATAAAGGTTTCCGAAACTTACAGACAACTAAGATGACAAAGAACTGGATTAAGTACAGAAAGGTGGAAACTCAGAGCCTGTCTGCACACAACTTGCCAAGTGTGAAACATTTGAAGGTTCTCCAGAGATGTTTATAGCAATTCAACTGATTAAAAGTATCATAGCCAAGTGTGTGCTGTCTCTCTAAACAAAGCTGCTCTTTTTTTTTTTTCTTTCCTTAAAGTGCACCATGCCTACTGTAAGTGTAACTCTGGTGACCTGTACATCCATGAGAGTAAATGCTGTATTACTGCCATCTTAAAGGAACAAATATTTGGGTTTAGAGCAGTATATACATCTCAATGTACAAAGATTGTGCTCAAAATTTGCTAACAAGCCTCAGCTCCCAGTAAGCATTCACTTTAACGTTAAGACATGTAATTCAGTTGTTACTCACAACCTTCTTGAGCCATTTTGTGCTTGGGATTATCCATCCATTTTAGAGCAGAAGCCTTTCTGCAGAGGTTCCCCCTCAGCCTCACTGTGATGTTCTTGTGTGTATTCCCACTGCTTCCAACAAAAATAATCATCCTCAGAAATTCTGCCTGACACGTGCATTTTCCCTTCCCTGAGTCTTGTCACCTGCAAGATTGACAGAGTTATTTAAAGTCAAATACCCATCTCTATTCCACCAGAGTAAGAAGCAGTCTTGTCTTAGGGTTTTTTTTTTTTTTAAAAAACTGTTATCCAACTGGCAGAGTTCAGTCTGCCACCACACTATAAGCTTTGCCTAGACATGAGGCGTCCCAGCCTGCTCCCAGGCTCACGGGAACAGACAGCACATTATTGCAATACGCAGCTGTAAAGTTAAGGCCCAGCACTTGGCTGACCCAGTGTTCAGCCCTGCTTCCTGATGAACAGACCTGTGTAAAATTAGTGAGTACACGAGAGTAACAACTGAGCAACCCTGGCATTAACTTTTTTTTTTTAAACTATTTTAACCAAGGAGGGGGGATCAAAGAGCCAAGTCTGCTCTTTACACAAGACTAAAATACCTCTCTCTCCCAGCTCTGTTGCCTCTAACTTACTTTCACCACTGTTTCTACACAGTGAGCATTTGTATTCACGTTTCCATATTCTACTGTAAACAGAGCTGTGTAGCCATTTTAAAGGAAGTGACCCCAGTATAGTTCCATAAAGACTAGAAGTGGTTGCACTTGTTTAATTATTGGTAAGTTTAATTCTCCAGTGACTGCTGTTGTTACTATCCTTTGTTACAGGGTATCTGCCATCCCATTTAACCTGATATTGCCAACAGCTCTGTGTTAAGCAGTAAAGAGAGATATATGTGATTTTTGCCATCTGGAAAGTTGCCCTTGCAACTGAGTGAATGGATGGAAAGAGGGAAAAATGAGGACAATGGAAAATGGAAACACATAACCAAAAAAATGAGCAAAAGCAGAGCATTCATAGCTAGCACAGTCACTTCTGCGTGTGAGGGTCTCCAGGTTCACAGGAATCTGGACGTTAAGCAGAAGTAGTCAGCCACTGTAAAGCGCAGTAAATTCCTGAAATTCAGTTCAGTAACACCTGCTTAAACATGATGATGATGCCTCAGGAGGAGAAAGAGAGCAGGAAGTGCTTACGCAGCATAACCACCCCAACAGCTTCACTGATACCACTCTGCATATACAGGTTCCCAGGTGCACAGCAGTGTGGGACTTCCCAGCTCTTACACAGTAGGGGTTAAACTGCAAGAAAACTGAGAACATGTGAACAAGAAAGTAGGTAGGAAGGGAAACAAATGCCAAAGTTTGCTATAAAAAAAAAGTAAATGTGCACAGCATACAGCATAGCTAGCTAATCTGAAACAGATGGTCAGGATTTCTCTGGGGAAGCTCAGGGATTAGGCCCCCAGCAGCACCTGGGAAGCAAAAAAAAAAAAATGTATGTAGGTGTTTGTTGCCAAGTAGGAGTTCACTAGAGTGGCCTGAACAGGGCATGAAACAAAACCAACTGCTTTGGATCTCAGCTGTGAGATGTCTAGAGTACAGGGCTTTGAGAAAACTCATCAAATTTAAAAAACAGTTGCTCAATTTTATGGGTTGTTCCCAACCTTTCCTTATTAATACAAAGTACAGTGCCATCCAGGATCAGAACAGTAAAACGGCATCTCACAGTTCCGAGTAAAACGTAAGTGCTGTTTACATATGCACCACGCTGAGCAATGCACCATGTGCTGTATTTGTATTAACTTCCGAGCTGAACTGTAAATGGACAGCTAACAGTGACCAAGTGGTGACGCGTCCATCAGAGAACCTTCTCACCCACTTCACACCTCCACACAACCAACCAGAGCTGATCTGATACAGACAGACAATTGTAGCGAACCTTTCAAGGCAAGCTGACTTGGTCAGGCTCGTTTAAGGAATAAAGCAGAAAAATGTTTTCACTAAAATGATTTCCTAAGCATCTGTTTTGGAAGCCAATCCAGGTGGATTTTCTTAACTGCTATGCAGCAGCTTCATCCTTCATCTCTACCTGAAATCTGTGGAGTCTGTGCATGCCCCAGGCCCTGGAGAGTTTTCTTTCCATCCTCAAAAGCAATTCAAAAAAAGTAAATAAAAGGATTATGTGTACACACACATTTGTGTGCTTATGTGTGTACGGGGTTCAGTAGAAAAGTTTCTCATGCTCGCCAAGCTTTTCTGTTCTTTTGCCCGTCTCATACAAAGCACCGTTTCTTTTACTATTTCTTTTTCCAGAACCTCTTCAAAAAGAAGTGCACAGCATGGCGTTTCTAGAAGTCGTATCAAAACTCCGCAGCCACGAGAACAAAACTGTTGCCCAGCAGGCCTCGCTAACAGAGCAGAGACTTGCTGTAGAAAGCTGAGGAAGGTCTTGTTTCCAGTGCATCCCATCACAGATTTCACCTTTGTCCTCCGTCCTGCTGCCGCTCCTGCTATGTTTTCCACTGTATCACTCGTGCATGCGTGTAATGTTCCCACACAAATTGATGAACTGCTGTAGGTACCCGTCCAAAAAGGTTTCTACAAATTCATAGGTGGTGTTAACATGAACCTGTCTCCACCCGTAACTGTTCTACTTGTATTCTTGTTGCTTGGGCCACATAGTAGAATGTGCATGTTGTAGTCCTATGATGACGTAGAAGTGGTACTACACAATGACTCTTTCCTCACGCCCCCTAACTGCATTACAGTGTACTACTAAATTAGGGACAATACAAGATGCAGCAAGTCCAGGCTAGTGTGCTGACTATAGGATTAAGAAGTAAATCTAGCTCCATTTTTGGTGCTTCGGAGATTCAGGTTTGAACGCAATGTACTGCTGCTCATTCACTGGTCTTGCCTATTAATGTCAAACCCGTGGTACCTAGAGGTAACAAATAAAAATTTCAGTGCTCTCACTTTATCCTGGGCTTTGTCCTTTTTTGTATTCACACGCAGAGGCCGCGACTGCACCACCATGCGCTGGTGAGGCGCCCTTTTCCTTCCTGGCTCTGGCCCCGACGCAATCGCTGCCTTTCAGTTGAGCAAATACAAAGGAAACAATTCCAACCACTTTCACTGTGTACGCTCACACAGAGGCACTGTGTGGTTTAACAATCGCGCGTTTTAACAGGAACACACTATACAATCCTTATCCCATAAAGCCGTGTGGGTATGAGTGCTCTCAGGCTTGCTTGGGACTGGGTTTTTGTTTGTTGGGGTTTTTTTGCAGATGGGTTTTTAAAGGCGTATCTTGCAGCAACTTTTCAAGAGATCCCATCACATGAGAAACGCTGCATGCAAGTCTTCCTTTTTCTCTTTTCCTAGGTAAAGGAGTTGGGAAATTGCCAGTTTAAGCATCTTCTCTCACAGCTGCTCTTTTGTAGGTTTCTAACGTGCCAGCGCGCAAACCAGCAGACAACTCTTTGGCAGAACAGGGAGCAGCTGGGATAGCAGTTTCCAGCAAGCCAGCGCATGTTATTTTTGACTGTGCGATACCATTGTCTAGCTTGATCAAGCCCACAGTGCACAAAGATCGTAAGGTCTGTAACATTTTAAAGTGAATTCAGCACTCCTAGTGCTGATGTGCCTGCCTCAGAAGTTTCAGGCTCCTTGTTTATCAGCAGAAGAGACAAACCCAGAGGCCAAGCACCCATGCGATCCCATGCCACCTGGTTGCAAAAACACTGCTTCTGACCTTCCCAAATTCACTTCCCAGCTCATGAAACCACTGGCTATCCCGCAGACACCGTGATGGGAAGATGCCGGTCATGATGGGAAAGGGGTTACGTACACAAGCTGGGTATGAAAAGAAACTTGCCTCAAATAGTCAGTTTAAGCTCCAAGACTGTACCAAAACCCAGCGGATGCTACAGGAGTATTCACACAGCAGAGATTCCACATCCATTTAATCCAGTGCCAGAAACACACAGAAAAAGCCTCTAATACTAAACTGTACAACAGCCTCTTATTTAAAAATGTATTTGAAAGACATTTGCTAGTAAGAGTGCAATAACAGCACTGACAGAGTGTAGAGCTGTGAACAGACCAGGACCCCGTGCCATCAGGCTCTGAATAAGACGGAACCTCTGCACCGCTGAACGTAACCAGCATGTTTACCATCACAGTTCATAGTGGACCCACGCGAGCCCAAGTTTTCTCAGGCATGGAAATAATTTCCACTGATTTAAATAGATCCCAAAATACA